TTAATTAATTTCATTCCATTCAGTCTGTGTTTTTTATGCTTGAACACATGCTGACACTGTTATTGTGTGGCATCCTGCTCACTGGAGAAGTATAATAGGCTTGTGAAGGAGGGAGAGTGTTTGGTATTCCTGCTACAGGGTGATTTTTGGTTCTTTCTTTCTTCTGACAAGGAAGTATGCTACAGTAGCTAACTCTAATATGGTAGATCCTTCCCCTTCATAGCCTCTCCCTGGCTCTTATCTTCCCCTTCAAATGAGAAAACCTGGATGGCTTCTCAGGGCCCCTGTTTCTGCCTGGATGCTATCTCATTTGGTTTTAATATATTTATCCATTCATTATTGTTCCCTTTTATCAGCCTGCTAATATTGTTCATAATTTGTCCTTATCTGCAAGCCTGACAGTCAAATTTACACTCGGGCTCAGCAGACAGATGGAGAAATGACCCTTTTCCAACCCCTCCTTCCCCAACTCCTCTGCTCCTTTCATTCATCTCCTCCTCTCCAAACTCCAATGAAACATGACTGACAGCCCGCTGTATAAGTAGTTGTCATAGCAACCGCCCCATCCTTACGACAAGTACTTTTTCTCTATAGCGCACGCTCTCCCTCTGTCACAATATCTCTCACTCCTTCCATAATACTGCCTTTCCGCTGCAAATAATTGAGAAAGAGACAGTTAGAAAAGGGAAATTTGAAAACAAGGGAGCGCCTAAAGCTGTTGGTATGCTTTCCCTCCTCCCTTCACTCCCATTTCCATCCCATTCCCTTCCTGTCTCACGTCCCTTTGCTTCCTTCATCCTACCCGCCGCTGACAATGATTTACCCACTCCAATGGTTTGCCTCTTTCATCCATCCTGGCTTATCAAGGACTACAGGACTGTATGCACAGCAACTTACAGTATGGGCTCATCACTCCCACTCTCCCACACATTTACTCTCTCCCTCTCTCTGCGTCTCTTCTTCCCCGGCTTCTCTCTTTTTTTCTTTTCATCTTGTTGCTCCAAAAACTCCCATTCTGCCCCATTGCTATTCACAAAGTCTCAATCCACTGTCAAATTCTTGCATAGTAATGTAGCGTAATCATCAAACGCAGCGCAATAAGTCTACAGTATATTAGACTGTGCTGGAGATGTGGTGTATTTTTGTTTATTGTGAAGAGGAGTTTTTTTTTTTAAACTTCCAGTGGAAACAAAGAGAAGAAAGTATTGTGCTTTTGAGCTTGAGAACACACGCATGAGAAAGGGATTACTGCGCTATTGTTTGTCATGCACGTAGTTTAATGGTTAGGCAACAGCATGAAAAATTGAGATATGAAATATTACTGATTTAATTTGCTTTAGTGCTGTTAACTCTAAGAGTTCACGCAGGGCCAACATGCTTAGTCTGAAAAGTTTATATTGATTAGAGCAGCTTCAAATGGACCTATAAATCTTATAGGAAATCAATATTTATAACGAGACAGCACACTGCCAATTCATTATTCTGGAGTTTAATTTCCAATGCATTTATTCTAAACAAGCATCTGTTTAGTAACTCAGAGTAAATTAAACATGATGGGGAGCTGAATATCAGGACATCAGTGGTGTGTCACTGAAGTTGAATACAGTACTCTGCTACAGTGAGCTGTAAATGCATCTTAATGCCAGCATGCAGTACAGTTTTCACAGCGAACTTGCTGGTGGTTATTGGACCCCTGAATTCTTTAGGTGATGATATTTCTTCTTAATAACTACAGAACCCGCAGAGTCTCTCTAATTTAATATGATATTCAACTTGACTAGGTTGCATTATGATGTAAGGAGACCACAATACAACTATTTTCCTCAGTTTTTCTGTGTTAAACTGCACAGTTGGAGCAATTTGCTAGCCTCGAACAGCTATTGCTAAGGCATGTGTTTTTAAAGGTAGTGAAAGAGGAATGCTAGTTGCTAGCAATTTTAGCCTTTTGCATTGTTTTACGGGTGTATGTGACCTAATATTCAGTTAAAACAGTACTCAGTCAAAAACGGCTACTATTTTATGTATGCACAAAGGCAGAAGCATAAATACACATTCCTTTTATTAGACTTATAAAAGCATGCATAAGCATGGCACTCTTCTGAATCTCATCTTTAGCCATGAATTGGTAGATCGCTGTTTCTGTCAAAAGCTTTTTTTTACACTAAATATGAAAGAAAGATACTCTCTAGAAGAAATGGAGAAAGGGAAAAATTGAGTATTTCATCGTATTAGTTCGGGATTTATGAAAGAAGAGCATACAAAAAAAAACAAACAGTAAAGGGAAGAAGTAACAGAGGCTATGCCAATTTATATCACTGTGTCCAGATTCTTTAAAAGATCCAGATTCAGAAATGTAATGAAACAAGGTATTGACGAAACCAAAGGAAAAGACAACCTTTCCCCCCTCTGTTTAAATCAGTATCATTCACACAAACAGACATATGTATATAGCTTTGCACTGCAGTGAAAATGCAGATTATTTGTAATATGTGCTGCAGCTTGTAACACAGCAGTGATTAAACAAGAGATTAGTATTAACTACACTTGCAGCTAGCAGCGGCTTTGCAATTAGCAGCAGCCTTGGGTGCTGTGAGAGTTTTGTAGCTGCAGTTAGCGGATGGAAGTTAGCAGCAATAGCAGTCGGCAGCACTCAGGCGGGTTAAGGTGATTACCGAGAAAATGTCAATACTCTGTAGTTACAAGATAGTTAACAGTGGGGCATGCACTCATGTGTATACTGTGCGTGTGGTCATGGGGGGAGAGCTGTTATCTCTAATCCGTTGTATCAAGGGATGCAAGGGTATCCTTGTTTCTGCGTCTAATTTTTTTCTCCCTCCCTTTGTCCCTCATTTGTTCGTTTTTTTCCCTCCCCTGTCAGATATCTGTAAATGACTGTAGGTGTTTTCACTCTGTTTGTGTCTGTTTGCACACCGCCTGTGCTGCAGCGTTGTAGATAAATGAGATAATGTTTCTATTGGCAATGAACACAAGACCTGAATTCCCAAGGGAGCGTTTTAGTTGAGAGCAGCCAGAGCAGAATCCTAGACAGTGGAACAGATCTACTAGATGATCTGTTTTCATGCATTGTTAGCTTGTTTTCAAAGCACATTTATGTTCCACAACATGTACTCCATCTCTTTCTCTCTCGCAGCTGCAGATTAGGAACTTCTGCTAAATACAAAAGAAGCAGATACTCTGCAGTCACCATCTGCACATGTCTCCATACCTCTGTCACACATAATGCAAAAATAAATTAGAATAAACACAATTTTAAAAGACAATAACACTGTGAGGCTTTTGTGTAATTCACTGTGAACTGATATTGTGATACAATAAAGAATGAAAGGCACAGAACTGTTAAAGGTTCTGCACTGGTACTTTTCAGACCCGCATAAGCTACTACCTAGAGCCAAAGTAGGTACAGTAGGAGCTCAGATGGCCTCCTCTCTGTCACAGGACCGTATGTAAGATTTGGTCTGACGGCATTCAGGGAAATATGTGCAGTCCAGCCCCATCCCCCACTCTTGACTCATCTCGCTGATCCAACCTCAGAATTTATATTCTCCCTCCAGCAAAAGGAAGGACCATCTTGGCCTTTCATTTTCCAGTTCAGGGCTTTTCTTTTTTTGCAGATAAATGCTCTCCAATCCACCCTGACAGATGTCACATTGCATCACTTCCATTTTGATACATAGCCTCTGATCCTGCCACTTGCAATAAGGAGCCGGCACCAGGGATGCCCCTCCCTAGACAACGCTCTGACACGGGTGATTATTTTAAAGGTGCATCATTGGGGTTGCTGAGCGCTGAAACCGAAGCTGGGCGCCATGTCCATACACACTCTCTGCCGTGCTCGCTGCAGGAATGTGGGTATCAGCTCGGCTCAGGGTCAGAGAGCAGCAACGGCACGACACAATCGATAGCCGTCGCAGGTCACCCCGACACCGGGCAATACCCCTGGCGGCAATTTTTTTTTTGCTGCTGTCCTGCCTCTCGCTCAGTCTCCTGTGACGGCACAGGTCAGTGTTGGAGAAACAATCTGTATAAAAGGAAGATTTTTAGAGCTTCTGCTGCCAACTGAGACATGCTGCACTGTGGCATTAATCATGGAAGGCCAGAGTACATCAGTAAACACAGCGTGTCAGGTCAAGGTAAAGATCAGATCCCAAAGCATTTAACAGGACTCGGTGGCGTACGGGCTATCTGTTGAAAAGTCAGCGTTATTCATGGCGTGTCTCCCAGCCTTCGTTGCTCACTGGAGAGACACGCCATTGTTCACTGAAGAGCACACTGAAATATTTCTCTGGCTGCACAAAAAACACTGGATCAGCAGCAATTAGTAGAGTAAGAGAGAGATAAAGGGAGGAAGGGAGGGAGGCGGGCAGTTGAAAAAGAATGAGGGGAAAAATGTAGAATCAGCGAGAGAATAAGAACGCAGGAAAGAGATAGATGAATAAAGGGGAAGGAGAAAGAGGGAGAGAACTGGAGCTTTCAGCCAGTACAGTGTGGTGTGTAGGAGGTTAGAGCTGCCTGGAGCCCCTTCCTGCTTTTAAAAGGACCAAAGACTCTCTCATTGTCTTGGGTCTCTGTGGCTGCGTGTGTGAGCATGTGAGAAACCTCTTCATTAGTCTACCATTTCCCTCCTTTCTTCTTTCCAGCCCCTGACCACTCACTTACCCCCTGCTGCTATAGTATATGTGCCCACATGGGACTAAACCCACTTATAGTGGAGATTTAAAATGATCAGTCTGGGAAAAGAGATAATACAATGTGACTCGAGGCCAACCTGCACTAAATAAACTAGACAGTTACTTTACTGTACCGAGGCTCCACGAAAGTGTCTTTGTTCCTGCGGAAAATGAGACTTCCTTTTTAAATTGCTGTCTCTGTTCCACCAACGGTGACTCTACTGTACAATTCACTATTGTATGCTCTTAAATTGGTTTCATAATTGAGGTCAAAGTTGTAATGTAATCTTTTGACTCTTGTTTTTGTTCCAGAAGACAGGAAGTTGTTTGTTGGGATGCTGAACAAACAACAGACCGAGGAGGATGTCTACCGCCTCTTCGAGCCTTACGGAGTCATCGAAGAGTGCACGGTCCTAAGAGGTCCTGACGGAAACAGCAAAGGTAAGAGCCGTGATACAGCTGACAGCATTATTTAGGTCACTGACAAAGAAGTGACAGTGCATCCGAGTGTGTGTGTGTGTCAGCTGCGGTGTCTCAAATCTGTGCGGCACATCCATCAGATATAGGTCAAGTAGCCCGACTGGTTAATTGATGTCAAAAATTTAACGTTATGTTGTTTGGGACACGGGATTGTCAAAGTCTAATAGTTTCTAAAAGATGCCATATTTAAATTTATCGTTACTCTAATTAGGACAATGTTTTTGCTTTTAGTCTTGCTACTAGTCCTGGAAAACCCAGCTCTCTCACCACATGTGATATCTTGCTGTGATCCCACCTAATTCAGCAATGATTTAAAAATGACCCTGTTGGCTTTGCAAACACTTTTTCAGTATTTACCTGAATTTCCTGCATAACAAAATCCCAGTCATTATCCTGCTGCTGTCTATTGTTTTGAATGTACCGCTGGACTTTACGCAGGTACTGAAGTGTTGATATCCCGAAGCCCTTTCTGAGATAGCCATGCAACAAAGAGCAAAGAGACCAGTGGTTTTTCATGTCTCTAAAGCCTATTCCCCAGCCGGCGCTTATGGAAATCGTTATGGAATTATATCTAAAAGGGTTTGAAGAACATTCTGACTCTGCAGTACGCTGGAGGAGGAGAAAAGAAAGACGGATGTCAAAACGATTCAAGTGTCCCCACTGTGGGGATGGGAACGAGTTGCATTCTTCTTTGTGGCTGTGCAGTATTTATGCTCCGTCTAAGTTAACTGTCAACACTCAAGTCATTATCCTCTATTACATCATCACAATTCTTTTTTTCTGGTAATGGCTGAGAGTATCATTTGAAAGTCTTTTTATAGTAATAATTAGTAGTAGTAGTAGTAGCAGTAGCAGTACTAGTAGTATAATTATATCATATCAAATAAAAAACATCTAAACAAGTGAAAAAAAATTCATCACCATGTTGCATCTCAAAGTCCTGTGATACAAAATGACATGTAGAGAATATTTTATGCCTCCTCACCGCTTCACACGTTCAGTTTTTTTAGTTTATTTAAAAAGGTGCAGGAAGTGTTAAATGCATAATTATACTGATGTATGGTTTGTACTACTGTGGCAAAATCCTTGTCCAGGTCATCGCGAGCTCTAGCCCCGATCTATTCATATCTCAATAGGGGGGGCAGTGCTTTGACAGCTGAATGGGCATCGTGATAGCCTGGTGTCCATAGGCGTAAGCCCATTAACAGAGGAAGAATGGCAGGGTGACTGGGTCAAGCAGAGAAGATGATAAGGAGACTGACAGTATGACAGATTAAATAATTTTAAAAAAGGAAACTTAACATGAAAAAATGAAATTAGGTAAAATGGGGTGTAATTATAAAAGGACACGGTGGCTCAGTGGATAGTCCTGCTAGCTCAGACAACAGACCCAGATTTAGTCCACATGTGTTTCTGTGTCAGTCGCTGGGCATCTTTATTCGCTCTAGCTTTCTCACATTTTAATAAACTGAGCTCAGAGACCTGCATGAGCAGTCGGCTGGACAGTTACTGCAAGTTTCACAGAGAATGCATTTTCTTTTGTCTTGAATTAGATGGTGATGCATCTTTTAGTTTCTGCCCCTTCAATCATTTCTACTAAGAGTACTTTCTTGGTTGATTTTGAAAGAAAAAGGTATCATAGCCAGACCCTAAAGAGAGAAAATCATAGTTCTTTAAGGACAGTACAGCAAAGAGGTTTGAATGTTTCGGGCCTTGTTCAAATCAGAAGAAGTGATCAGAACATCTTGTCGTAGAAACAATTAATTGTTCTGAGAACCTAGATGGTTTGCTAGTTAAGTTTAGCCAGTTTAGCTCGTGTTTAATATGCACAGACAGGCATGTGGTGCTAAATAGCATGCTTTTCTGCTTCATCAGTGCAATCTCTTGCCTGCAGCTTCTGCCTGCTTGTCTGCCTGCCTAATGCCTGGAGTTGGGCAGCCTGCTGTGCAATGAGAGGCTCTCACTGCACAGCGATTTCTGTGGTGTCAAATATAATTCAACTATTATTATTATTAATTTATTAATATATTGTACACTGTTAAAGGCTCACTTGAGTGAACACTGTACAGGATATACAATATATTTCTCTCTATATTAATATATACATGTGTAAATGTACTTCTTTGTATGTTTGTGTGTGTTTACCTGTGTGCGGTGTGCATCTGCTCTTTCTTCCAGGTTGCGCCTTCGTTAAGTTCTCCACACACACCGAGGCTCAGTCTGCAATCAGCGCGCTCCACGGCAGCCAGACTATGCCAGTGAGTACAGCTGTCTCCCTCATATAAAAGCACAGAAACCCACTCAGGCCACAAAGCATCTGTAACATCCACAACACTTCAATAGCTGCAGTCCACGTGTCTTGCTATGGAGCTTTAAATTCTCAGCTTCGACGTTTGAATCAACTGAATCCATCTTTATAAATATGGCAGATTTTTAAAAAAGATCCAAAAACAAATATTCTGCTGTCTTTGTAATTAACACGGTACTTGAAAAAAAATCCTAATCTGATTTCCAGATAAAACTGTTTAGAGTGATAATTGAATTTTGGATGAGTCATCAATCAGTAGTTCTGTTTGCATAATCAGTGGATAGAACCCCAGTGTGAGATTACATTAGCTCCTTATGTAAGCACACTGTGTCCTCTGAATTCTCTCCGCACTAGCTTTACTGCGAGCACAAAAAGCTGTACTGCTCATTTGTATGTGTCTCGTGTTTAAGCAGGGTCCCTGTATACCTGATTGTGTCAAAATAAAAGCTACTTACTCTGCACTTCAAACCTGAATAGAGTTATTCTCCATGACATTCGGCGAGTGGACAGAGAGTCATGACTTGTTTTATACAGTAGCCTGAAGTATACTTTGCTTTCATCCTCGTTTTTGTTTCGGCAGCTCTCGTCTCAGAAAGGCTGGGACAGTGAACTCCCTCCCACCCTATCTCACAGGTGTTGTGTTTCACTGTATGATTTCATTATTAATGGTTGCCAATGTGTGGCTCGAGAGAGAGGAGCAGAGAGAACCACTTGAAGCCAGCTGTGCCATTTTGGCGCAACCTCTGAGTCAATCTAAGTGCAAATGACTGCAGGTCATGAGGAAAGACTCTGGATGTCCATTTTCCATAGATACCCTCCTTCTGTGTTGCTCCATTCCCCTATCTCTGCTACCTCTCTGCCCTCGCTCGTCTCTCTTTGGCAGCCTCTCGGGATATTAGGCAATAGACTTGTTTACTCCACCTTTCACCACATTGGCTGCTGAATTATTCATCCAACTATAAGCAGGGTGCTGAAAGGATGAGGGGGGGAGACTTGGAGAGAGAGGGAGAATGAGACAGAGAGCGAGGGGGCAGAGAGAGAATGAGTGAATGGACAGGATTTATACCTCCTGCTCTGGTAAATTGATTATAGAAATCTGATCAGCATCTCATATCCTGTGGCTGCTGGAGGAGCAGGCACAGTGCGCCTGCCTTGCTGAGATTAGTGGACCTCCGATGGTCTATTATGCCTCAGCAGGACAGTTCTATTCAGAGCAGCGTGTCCGTCAGTGTAGCAAAGATCCTGGAAAAAACATGGGCCGCACATCCTGTGTGTTAATTTAACATCGTTTCGATTGCAGTCGAGCCACAACTGCAAAAAGAAGTCATGTACAAGCATGTTAACTGAATGAAAAAGCATTTATTTACCAAATGTTGAAGTGGATTAAAAATGAAGAAATCAAACAAAGAAATAAATGCCACTGACAGCCAAAGAGACAGAGAATTTATTATCAGGCAAATCAAAGAAGCAATTCCCTCATTCCTTCATATTTCAGTCAAAAAGATGACAATAATAAAGACCTATAGCAGCAGTGGCTGAGGTGTACCGCACAGAATATTAACACTACAGCAAATGAACGCCAGCGCCCCAGAGCATGAACACTTGCTTCTTAGATTTTATGCGTGTGCACACAGACGTACACGAATGCATGTGTGCGCATGCATAAATATCTACAAATAGAAGCACTTTGTGGGTAAAACATTTGCATGAGCACATGCATGCACACTCGTTCTATACCGCTCACTGCCACATCCACGTCCAGCCACGGACTAGGGTCAAAGGCTCCCTGACTGATCTTATTTTCCAGCTCGGAGGACTTGAGCTGAATACATTTGTGTTATTCATGTAGAGAAGGAGTGGGCATTTTGTATGTATTAATCTGTGTGTGAGTTGGAAATGAAAAAGGAAATCTGCATCAAGAGACTGCACGAAGAGTGCTGGCCGCTGCATGCTTAGAAGTCCATTGTGAGTGTACATACACTTGCATTTGTTCCATATGTGGAACTACCCATCCGGCATCAGCGGCCAATCACACTCTAACCCATCATAATTCAAGCATAAATATCTCTTCTCCCGTATACTCTGCCACCATCCCTTGATCACCAGCTGCTATCACTGGTGTGCACGCACCACCAAAGTTCAGGCCACGAGTGCCTCAATTAAACATTTAAATTCTAGCGCTGTAGAGCAAATTGCTGGAATTCAGCAGGGTGATGTAGGAAGAAAGTCTCAGGACAAAATTACACAGAGATGACGGGGGTGTGGGTCAGGTCCGCAGAGCCATGCTGATTTTTTTTTTTCACTCCGTATGCGCAGCAGCTGAGTTCGAGGCAGTTTCAGCTGACACAGGAACTGAGATATAAGCAGCAGAGCAGGATGATGGAAGGATAAGCGCACAACAAAAGAAAGCAAATGAGGTAACGCTTGCTTAGAAGAGAGAGCTAGATGATTGAGAGTGCAAGAGAAGAAAAAAAGAAGTTTAAAATTCATCTAAATGTGATTCCCCATCTCCTGAATCTTGTCAGTTACTTCAGACAGAGAACAGAGTACATATGCAAGTGCTACGAGTGCCAGGATTTAATACCCAATAAGGCACGTCTTTTAATGAAATGAAAGAGGCAGCCGATGCAGCGGTATACATATAGATACTGGCATAAGTAATAATCTTGTTGTGTACTCAATGAAATGTGGAGTGTTAATGTCAGTCTTTCACAGGGTTGATTAATCTTTGTGTTGCTGCTCCCTAAACAACATTCTGCTTTTATTTAACTTAGGTCTTTAATTTCAATCAGTATTGTTTCTAGCAACTCAATTTACATTCTAATAACCAAACAAGTTCCCAGTCATCCATTATTATAAGAGCTAAGCTTGAATAGGAAGTCCATTTATCCTTCTATGGCTAGCTGGGGTAGTGTAATGGTTGGCCTCACTGGAAAAACAACCATAGAGTAACTCCGTGCAAATGCCAAAAATTAATAGTTATATCATATAAGAGTACTCTATACAGCTTTAGTATAATTCTGAACATGAGTGAAGGAAATGCCTTTCACCGTGTATTTAGAACAAACTACGGAGATCATGGACATTCGTGTTCTCTGCAGGTTCCTCCTACAGTCCAAAGATCTCCATGTTAGGTTAACTGAGCTGCAGCAAAGGTACTGACACAAACTAGAAAGAGAGAGCATATTTCTCTTATATTGGCTTCCCTTCACTGGCTCCCTGTTAAATCCAGAATCAAATTTAAAATCCTGCTCCTCACATACAAGGTCCTGAATAATCAGGCCCCATCTTATCTTAAAGATCTCATAGCACCATATCACCCCAACGGAGCACTTCGCTCTCAGACTGCAGGCTTACATAGAGTATTTAAAAGTAGAATGGGAGGCAGAGCCTTCAACTTTTAGACCCTTCTCCTGGATTCAGGAGACAGACACTATCTCTACTTTTAAGATTAGGCTTAAAACTTTCCTTTTTGCTAAAGAATATAGTTAGGGCTGGATCAGGTGACCCTGAATCCTCCTTTAGTTATGCTGCATAGGTGTAGGCTGCTGAGGGATTCCCAATGTTTCTTCTTCATTCACCTTTTTTACTCACTGTGTTTTTACACTTCTCTTTCACAGTGTGTCTCTGTCCTGTCTTCCTCCTTTCACCCCGACCACTCACAGGAGATGGTTTGGGTTTCCTGTGGTTCTCTTTAGTATTGTAGGGCATCTACATAACAACATAAGTGCCTTGAGGCACCTGTTATTATGACTTGGCGCTTAATTATTAAAAGTGCCGTAAATTCTGTTAACTGGTGATTGTAAATCAGCCATAGGTGTGAATATGAGTGTGACTGGTGCCAATGGTGAGGCCCTGTAACAGACTGCCACTGTACTTGTATAAAAACTAAACAAAGGAAAGATTATACAGAAAATGTACATGTAATCAAATTACATAGAGTCAGTATGCATATTTTGAAATATTCTTTGAGTTTTGTTAAAAGATTGCATATATTAAATTAGTAACTCAATGTTACTAATTAAATTTTTTCAGATCTTTAGTTTCTCTAAGTTGAGGTCCTTTGTCTTGAAATGATTGAAAAGTTGAATGAATGACTGAATGACCTGCTGCGACTGAGTAACAAAATTAGCAATTTGACAGATTTTGGCACTCGCATTAAAGAGATTTAAAGCTCTCTGTAGACTCTTCTTTTTACAGTCTGAATAACTTACTCCTATTAATAAAGTGTTTTGTGTCATTAATACACTTTTCTTTTATATCCATCTTTCCATCACACTGAATTATGGTTTGTAGCGAGCTGAAGCCTGTCACGGCGTTTGAAAACACTGGACAGGAGGCTTAGGATGTTCTGATCCTGAGATGCCTTGGCTGTGAAAATATGTTAATACCAAGTACCAATGTGATACCAGTGTTTAAGTTTAGTGTGTTTTCCTCACTGTGAGAAAGAAATGTTAAATTATACTTTACATATAAGGAAACATCAGCAGATTCTGAATATATAAATATAAATTTTCTGAATTGTTGATATGAAAAATCTAACTTATGTGCACCTGTCTTATTTCAGATCAGCGCGAGAGTCATTAGTCTGCTGAAATCTGCTGTCATTTACAGTCACAGCAGTTTTTCCTTTCCTCCTCACGAGGGTGCGGAGCTGACAGGAGGCAGCTGAAATGCAATCACATTTAACATACATGTTGCTGCGTTGACAACAACAAGTTGTTACTGCAAGTATAATTAGAACTTACACCAAACCAACATCCTTCGAGCTTCCTGCTGACCAAACATGATGAGAGTGAAAGTAAAAGAGTGACTCAGAGAGAGTGAAACTATCACCATCTGCTTTTTTTCAGCTCACAGTTTGCAGTTAAATTTGAAAAAAAACAAACAAACATATAAACAGAAGCTGTTGCCTTCAAACTCCTGACATCCTGTTGTGGACAGGTTGCTGGACCATGGCAGAGCTTCTTAAAATAAATGTGAAAAACATTCTGACTGTATTATGTTGATTTGGAGTGTTGTAAAATTTTTAAAGTATTTCTTAATAGGTGTGCGAACAAAGTTACAACATGACTGACCCCAAAATACAGTAACACCATAAAGGTCTTCACTGTGAGACACTTGAAGCCAAGACAGCGACTGTATCTCCCAGTACTGGACAGAGAACCAATCTTCCTTCTAAGTTATCAAATGCAAGCAGGCATTAAAGTTAAAAGAATATGAAATATATATCACTAGGTATGAGGCTTTATCTCCTTCATTCACATGAGGGTTTGCAGCTTGAGCAGACACCAACACAACCATCCTTGGCAACGAGAAGAAGCCATAAAGAGGCAGACTTTCCTTTTGGTTCTAAGTCTCTGTAGTAGCTTTTTATCCTTCCTGTTTAACTCCCGCTTCTTCAGTGGCTCTCTAGGCAGCTGGGAGACACCCGGCAGGGGGATTCTGCTCACACTTGGCAGCTTAAAAATTTAATGAGACTTTCACTTCACACTTCATCCTCTTCTCTTTATAGCAATGGAGATTCTGCTCGCTGATATCCTGACAGGCCTAAATGGGAAAACCTCTGAGATAAACAAATGTGGCAATGGACGCTTAGCCGACAAGCCATAAAATTTACGTGTCCTTAGGAGAAACAGTGGGAGGGCAGTCTCAGTGTAGAGACCTTGAAAAAAAGCTTTGCAGCTAGTGGGACATACATGCAAGCGTATGAAAGAAAATGGCACAAGGCCCTTGTATAATAAGACAGGCCAATAAACTTTGTTTCTCAAGAAGGGACACTTTAGTTCTAGATGGCAAAGGGCTGACTGCAAAGTTCCAACTTAATCTCCTTAACCAGAGGAAAAACTCATAGTTCTCATTACCAAAGAGCGACCTTAAATAGCTTCTTTAACTGTGAAGGCGAGGTAAAATATTCAATATATACTAGAGCATCTTGTCTGTATTCTGCTGCACACTCCCAAAGTGAAACCTCATAGCAAGGTTAATCGTACAGATAGTAAAATGCTCGACAACAACAAACGCTAAACTTGCAATTGTGTCACTGTCAACCTTGAAGTGTCTCAGCTTAGTGTTAATATGTGAGGTTTTGCTTAAGAGATTGAGAAGCATTAAGAATTTTTTTTTTATTGTGTTTTTCTATCTCTTGTTTCTGTATTTGTTATAGAATCGTATATGAGTCAGAATGAATGCAAGGCATCTTATTCCCATCTGATAGAATGGCATTAGCACTGCACAAGCTAATTTCTCATTAGCCAGAGCCAGTAAGTGCTCAATTCGTCTGTTAGCCAACTAGCCTGCCAGTCAGTCAGTCACTCAACTAGCTATACAGTCAGTCTTTTAGTCACACAGCCAACTAACCAACTGACCATTGACATATAGTACTGCAAGCCTGTAATTCAACCAGCTAGCCAGGCTAGTTGGCTAACTGTCACTCAACTAGCTATACAGTCAGTCTTTTAGTCACACAGCCAACTAACCAATTGACCATTGACATATAGTACTGCAAGCCTGTAATTCAACCAGTGAGTTAGCCTGGCGGAGAGGGCTTGTGGGAATATTGAGAAATGTGGGGAGAAAGGGAAAGGAAGAACATAAAATCCATATGCTACAGTCGAAAAGGTCCAATGCCTGTCTTTGACCGTTTTTTGCTGTCTGTAGATATCTTTATTAGAGCGATACCTCAGTAAGGGAAAACACACAGAAAAGAGCATAATAAAGTCAAATTAATTATGCAATAATAACCTGCTAATGCAGATGCCATTTGTAACTATGCACCTGTTGTCCAACACAGCTTCTTCGATATTTGACTCAGATCCAAAACATTACCACCTTTAGAAGTTTGAAAACTATAACCCAGTCCAGGCGCTTTACCAGTCACCACTGCTATTGACAATCTTGCATCAATTTCAGGGAGCCTCTTATCGTGACTGACACACAACCTTTCTACACTGTCAGATCAGAGTAATATTTCGGCCTTTTATGTGGATCGATTGGCCTGTTTGGGGGCGCAGAGGGGAGGAGAGGCGGAGCACACAAAAGGTCAACTGTAGCGCTAAATCATTTGAAGATTCTTTAATGAAGGGTGTGTGGCAGACACACCTGCTGGTTTCATTATTGGGCTGCAAAAAGGGGTAATAGTTTTGATATAGAAATGAATTGCCAAAGACACAGAAACGAGGAGGAGACTCAAACGGAAGCTGGGCAGAAGGAGAGAAATCGCCCTGAAAAGAAGAATTTTCTTTGAAGAGCACTTCTACCCAGGCCAGTAGGAACTGCTGTGCATTGCAGATCTTTTAACCTTAACAAAGTAGCTCTGATGTTACATATATGTACCGTACCGGATAGGGAAAAGCCTGGAAGGGCGTGAGGGATATAAACTATTTATGATATAAACAGTGAGTCGGCTTTGCCCTGAGTGACTTTGTGTATGTCTCTCTCTGACTGAAAGAAAGCAGGCTGATCCTGTCTGCATATCTGAGCTTTTCACTCAATAAATAGAACATTTTTATTCTTAACGCAGCTGTCCGTTTCATGTTTATGTATGCCAGCCACAATTTTCTGCAGTAATGAAAAGCAAATCTCTGACACACAATTAGAGATGCTCACTAGGTATCGATGTTAACAGCAGTTGTTGTTGCAAATGAACATGGCAGACTAAGAAATTTGAAATAATAACCACTAACGTTCTTAATGCAGTTTTTTTTTTAAGTGTTGGTTCACAGCTGTCTCTAAATGTGTAGTTAATCATAAATGCTAATTTTCTCAAGGCCTTTTGCGTATATGTATGTACCACATTCATTTGCTGAGTGTAAGTGTGAGGGCTACATGCAGTTAAGTGGCTGTTTGTTCCCTCATCTGATTTCTTCCCTTTTTTTCTTTCTTTCCTTCTAACTCACTCAGGGTGCTTCCTCTAGCTTGGTGGTCAAATTCGCCGACACAGACAAGGAGCGCACCATCAGACGTATGCAGCAGATGGTTGGGCAGTTTGGCATCTTTAACCCAGCCATCGCCCTTCCCTTCAGCACCTACAGCTCTTACGCACATGCGGTGAGTTGGAAAAGGCATATGTAGCACACACAGTAGACTTTAAAGGGAGAAACAATAAGATTATATTTCATTTTATGCATGGATAATGGATCGTATTACTTTGTAGTACACATACTTAAAATTTTAGTAGCAGTGAGTTTCATATTCTGGCAATGTTTCACATCTTCACTCTCAAACAATGACATTTTAAAGGATTTGATATACTGTACCTAACACTGGAAGAAAAATGTTAAAAATATTTTATCTACTATCATTAATCACCATAAGCATGTATTTGCATTTGAGTAGGCAAGGAATAAGCGATGTGGCGACTGGAAATCGTAGAAAGTCAGTAGCATTCAGCGAGTCCAAGTGGCTCCAACTTCAATTTTTCTCAATATCGAGGCAGTTGAAGCGACTATCAACAAAAACAAGCCACGATGTATTTCAACATCTGACGAGGTAGTAAACATATTACAGGGTTACCTAAGCAGCTGGAGTTGCTAGCGACAAATCAACAACCACAATGAGATGTCCAGCGACTATGTCATTCCCCTCATGGTGGAACTGTTTTGCTTTAAAACTCTTATTTTATCATTTTTAGCCACAGCAGGCATTGGATAAAACCTAGCAATTAACTTGCTTTTAACTCGTGCATAGTGGCACATTTATCAGCTGAAAAGACAGAAATGTGGTAAACAGCAGACCAGAGTGACTACGATTGGGCCTCATTCATCGGTGGCTGGAAACGCTCAGCATAAATCCTGCTTTTGATTAATACAAAGCGACATTAACTCTTTATCAAGCAGACATAAAGCTAATTAATTTTTGACTTATTAACCTGAAAGGCAATATATTAAAGTGCTGCGCTCGCAGTATCTTCTGTATTGGGGGCAGTTGTTTACACTGCCCCCAAGTGGCCAGAAGATATGTGAAATCGTGTTTAATTCAAGAATTTGTTCCAACACCCAATGAAAGCTGCAGATGGTAGATATTATATTTGGAGCCAACATCTGGAGAATTTATACCTTTGTGCCATCATCATAACTCATTTCATTTAAAACAATTAGATTTTAGGTATGAAGGCAGAATAACAAAATAGTGTAATTTTAATGTGGCTTGGACTCCATTTTTTTCCAGTATAAATCTACAAAAATTCTGAAATCAAAGTTCTAAAAAAGGGAAACATGTTAGTGGTTTGAACGTAGGCTTTTTAACATCTTTTACTTAATAATCCATGTTGGGATGATGACTGACCAAAGTGTTAGAATTTACATCAGTCACACAGGCAAATAATTAAATGAGGATTCTGCTGTTGCAGTGAAACGTCTTTGAGCGAATTCACTGCACGCAGACTCTTTGTTCGCTGCTTTTTTCCCTGTTTTTCCTTACTTAGCGGATATTGTTGTAGGTGAAAATTAGCCTGGCAAACTATCATCACTGCCATCAACACCACTTTCAGCTCTTCTACTCTTAAACAGTACTGCCATTCCATTAGTGCCTGGATTTCAGCACTCTCAGCACGTAGACGCGCACACATTTGGTTAGCTTGTACCCTCCAACCCCTTCATCAGCTTCACTCTGCCCTCCCACCACCGCCCACCCACCCCCCCAGGGCATGGCACCATACACGCACACAGCAGACCCTCGGCTCTTTGATGAGTTCAGACAGCCTGTGCAGCCCCTCTCACCAATCGCCCCCTCTACCCACTATCACACTGCTTCTCTACCCTTCCCCTCTCCCTCCCACTGTCCCTCCCTCTGGGCCCATGAGATGCTTCAGGGGACACAGTTGACTCAGAATATTCCATGGGCAACTTATCTGCACACAAACTTTCTTCTCTCCTGCTGAGGCAGAGCACACACATGCACCCCCTCGGTGCATATGCCACCGCATGCACATACAGACACACTAACTACTTGAAGAAAACTAAAATCAATTGAATTGGGTTGGATGAAATGCTTTCTGTCCGACTCTGTGATAAATACCTGGGCTTTAGTCGCCTAAATGCACGCGATCATCTGTGGAAAATATAATTTACAAAGAAGGAGCAGTGCAAAATCATCTTCTCCTGTACTTACTTGGTTGTTAAAGTTAAATATTTTTTCCAATTTCTAAATGCTAGGATTAATTGTTGATGTTAGCCGGGTCTTGGGGGCTTATCCATTTCCCTCATTTTCATATCACAGCCATGGGACCCACTGTGAAATGTGCAAATTGACCATCCCCGAGTAATTGCAAGGCCATCTCTTGTGCTCTCTCCAGTAAAACTCCCACCTTCATTACCATTCATGAAATGCAGCCCTTTCCCAGAAAATGTGGAGAAATGCAAATGTTTAAGGGGTGGTGGAGGCAGTAGCGGTCTGCAGGGAGACCATTGTGCCCCGCACAGGTTGGCCATGACTCTTATTTACTGTGGCACAGACCCGTGTCGACTCATACAGGCACACACAAGAGTATACACACTCACGCACAGTGCGCAGTAAATGCTCTTTCTCACTCCCCTCCCCACCCCCCCTCATATATACATATAATACGACAAACAGCAGGATGATGCGAGGAAATTGAGTTCGGAGTGAACGTAACAAGGGCACGGGGGATACTTTGGCATTAGAGAGAATCAATTACCATTAAATCTAAAGGAGAAATTGCACATATATGGTTTCTTGACAGAAAGATTACACAGCATGAAAGATGTTAGTGAAGGTGAAATTCTCCTTTGTATTATGTATGCTATGTAATAGCATATAATCACTTTGCCAAAATAAAGAAAGTTGGTTTAGAAACGCTGAGGCAGGCCAACCTTGGAGATAAACTCATTCCAGCTTTTGATAAAGTAATGAGTGTGCAACAGACAGCAATGGATTATCAGCAAGGCGCTTATTTTCATATCTTCCTTACTAAATGAATCTAAATACTGGTAGGGTCTGTTAGGTAAGAAATAATGTGGAATAAAGAGGAATATTAGTTGTCTTGCATGCAGGTGTGCAGCAGTTATGAGTACAGTTGCATCACTGGTGCTGACTAAATGCACGCGGCGTGCAGCCTTGCTTCGCCTGTAGCCGCAAGGAGGGTGCTGAAACGATACGATGAATGTTTCTTTGCTGCAAGATAAACTACATATATTCCCCAAAAACCAAAAAGCTGCAGTGACAGAGAAAAAAAAAGAGTTTATCTCTAAAGACACGCTATGCGTTTTCCTACTCTCCATATACACTAGCCAAGAGAAGAAGAGGTGGCACGGTATGGAATACAGACATTGGGAGAGCTCGTATATATAGTCATAACCAACAAATACAGTAAATGGTAAATTCAAAGAGCTACCTCTCCACTACAGCAGTGGATAGGATTATAGAGTTGAGCTGACAGCCAGTAAATTGGATTTTAGTCAAACCAGGAGGAGGAGGGGGCTCTGAACACAAATTGGAGGGGGTACAACACTGACAACATATGCCAAAAATGAGAAATGTGCCATTTTCACGATCGACACAGACACCGGTGTGCTCTGACAGGAGACATCCTATTTGCAAAAGGTGATTTTATAAAACACAAGGCAAAGGAAAACGAGAGTGAGATTCCATGTTTCAGTCCAGCGTTAGTGATGAGTTATAATAGTTCTCCCGTGAAACGCTGAATGCGAGTGGTAAAACCAGCTTTTATTGCTTTTTGTATTTCCCCTTCACGACACAAACATCACATTGGCACACAGTGAGATGTGACAAAAGTCACTTTTCTTCTCTCATCATCTTAAGTGGCGTCTCTTTGTGAGGCTGGCCGTTTCAGCTTTCCCTGGTTCCTCTGTGTTTGAGTTAAAGTGAGAAGTTTCCTCCAGCACTTTGGCCGCCTTGCCTCCCTCAAAGATGCATTAGACAGAGCGTGAGATAGCTAAACTAGAGGAAAGCAAATGGTTTAACTTGCTGCTAATAGTGACAGTGTGTGGGTGGATCAGAAGGGAGAATGATGGCTATAAACTCACATTAGGAAACATCTCCCCCTGTTGGAGGGACTCGCATTCAAAAGGCACACATGAGAAATGATGGTTACAGATTACTGCATCATTTGGCTGTACTATAAACTGCCCCCGCACGTATGCACCAGCATGTGTGTGGCCTGATTTCACTGTGAGGACAGGCTTTGGACAGCTCCTGCATGCGTCTAGACACACACACATGCACGGTACAGCAAAGTGCATCAGAGATGAAAGAACCTATTATAATCTTTCTGTGAAAATACAGCCTTCGAGCATGGCGGTAACAAATGAGGCCCTTGAGTTTTATCCTTCAGTCTTTTAGTTATCCTCATTGACCCACTGTCTCTCTCGCTCACTTATTTTTTTTTTTTTCCAACCTATTTCACCCCCTCTCTCTCCTCCCCTCTCGCTCCGTCACTGGCTGGTTGGGCTATAAGGGGTCACATGTGACAGTGCTGAGAGTCAGCGAGTCACAGAGCAGCGCTACAGAGATAATTGCCATGTGATAAAGAGGTGATTGCCTGCTAGCACCAGGGGAGAGTAATGCCATCAGGTTGCAATAAAAAAGCAGATGTCGGACACTAAATGAATGTTGCTGGAGCCTGGGCAACTTTCTTTGCTCCCTTTCATCTCGCACGTGTCTCTTTTGTCCCCGTTGTTTCTGTCCGCCTGTTCCTTTCCTCTTCCGAGAGGAAAAGAAAAATGGAAGAAAAGGTTGAGTCTGATGATGATGAAGACTCAGTTGTGCTCATTCTTTGCCAGAGACATTTGCTATCTGTTGGGTAGTGCATAAATAAAGGAAGAGGAATGGCTTTTGAATATAATGCCTTTGAAATTTTGCACAAAAGGAAGGGGGAAAGCGTAGACATATGAAACATAAAATGGAATGACTTTGAAAATTTCAGTCAACATAACCACTATGGTCTTTATTTTATTTATTATTAAAGACCAGAGTGTAATAACCACTTCATTCCAACATAACTGCATGCTTCAGTTTCCAATTTGCTGGTATGAATTGATTTGCTGAAGCATCAATTAATTCGAGAGCTGCTATCCATGACAATCTGACGGCCGGCATGAAGGATTGCATTATCTAAAACATGCCTTGGGAGAGAAGATAGTATTCTGGGCATGCCAATATTTACTTCCACTGCGTTATTACAGCATCCGGACCTGCAGGTTGTACAAGGTCACAGGGCTGCCAATGGGTTCAAGCTTATTAGAGTCATCCCAAAGTCCCTGGTACCTCAAGACTAAATAAATAAATAAATAAATAAACAATAGGTGGTGTTTCAGTAAGACTCTTCCTCCTGATGTCCAACCCTGTTCACGTCCTAATAGGAGGGCAATCACAAAATTGCCAAAGCAAGTGAGCCCTAGAACCTCTGGACCTATTTGTTTCTATGCCACTGCTTTTGTTTAGTTTCTTGTTCCATTTCAGGCTCTTTCAGCTATATCCTCTTAAAGCCTCAATTCATCTTATTTGGAAAGAAATGGATGATCCCCATTTGTCATGCTGATAAAATTATGCAAATGACAAAAGGCGTTAATAGATTGCAATGGCAAGGCATGTGGTTAATGGATGAGATGCCAGCGCTGGGCATTCTACAGCAGGACAGCTGCTTTCAGGTTACCTGACAGGGGCACTAAGGGAAAATAATTGGCTTTTCCGTTGCAGAGTCCACATGCAAATACAAGCAGAGTGACATTCTATACCTTCGCTGTCTCACAATGTCATCATTAGCATTAGTCCCAGTGGCGGAGGAGTTTGATTTCTGCTCATACGAGTCTCAGGCCATGGCCATCGGTGGCTCTCCAAAGAGATACAAGCTATGCAGTATTAAACAGATGCAGAGACGAGGGCAAGAAGCTGGTCCAGCTGTGTTTGTATTCCTATACCGCACAGTTCTGCATGTCTGATGGGAAGCTTCACAGCCTGCAAAAGATTGTTGAATCCCCAGATAAACCCACAGGTTCACAAACTGTACACATGAATGTACCAAGATGGATTTTCTTCTGATTTCAGTATTCAGCTTGGGGTTTGCACACGAAGAGTTTAAGTTAAGCGCAGAAGCTCAAATATTCTCTGTCATGCATGTTGTGTGAACAGGTGAGTATATGTGTGGGTGCACTTCAAGGCAGCGGTGCATGTGAGCATTTCCTGTGCACATGAATAAGCACTCTGCGTTTGATGGAAAATAGCTTCAGCGCTCACTTCTTACTTCATGCTAAGCAGAAATGCAGAGCGAATGAAAGACTATTGATTTGATCTCTTTGTGGGATCGGCCAGTGGGTGAAAATTGACTGCTATTAACCAACTGACTGTATATTACTAACATAGTCTGAAACCCGAGTTGCTCGCTAAGCTGACATTAAAACATTCGTTTGATGAGTCACAGTCTGAAAACAGAGTCAAACAACATTTTCGGCAATGAATAACTTTTCAGTGGCAAAGACTTTGGTCATTTACTGAAATCCCAATCCCAAATATATTCCGCCTTTTGTTTTGTTACTGGTTTCTGCCTGAATTAAAAAACAAGAGAAACTTAAAATATGGATGAATGTCAGGATACATCATCACAAATACATCACAGAAATTAGGAATGAGTCCGAGGAGCAGGGGGAGGGGACGTCTGTGGCATTTCTATAGCAACAGCAAACAGTATTGTGAAGTTTGACAATTGTAAGGGGGGGAAAAAGCATTGCAACTCTGCAAACTTTGCCTGTTCCCTGAGTACAGAGATAATGTGCACATGTCAATGCCTTGATTTGTGTGAGCCCAACAGACAGCTATTAAATCGTTTCTGCAGCTGGTGACAGGCTTCCAGCTGGGAGGAGAGACAGATTCACTAAACATAGGTTGACAGGCTTCTTTTTTCTTCTCTTTCTTTTATTCCGCTCTACTTTCTCTGTACTTTTCATGCACTATCCATCCATCAACCTCAACATACATCCCTCCCCTCTGTTCTACCCGTGCTATGTTTCTCTCTTGCGCTCCTTCTCCCGTCATTTTTTGACTACTTTGCAACTTACTATATTTTTCATTACCATCTGTCCTCCCCTGACCTTCCTTACATCCCTTCTACCTGCTGCTCCCTCCTGTCTCACACGCCCCATCCGACCATCCTTTCCTCCACCCATCTCTCCGTGTCCCTCTTCTTTAGCTCATGCAGCAGCAGGCAGCCATCATGGCAGCAAGCCACGGAGGTTACCTCACGCCTAGTGTGGCTTTCCCCGCCACACAGATCCACCAGATGGGGGCGCTCAACATCAACAGCCTCCCGCCCACCCCCATGACCCCGGTGTCGGGTGAGTTTCATCAAACCCTGGGTGAGCAAACAGTTTCATTCCCTTTCCTCTTGCTTATGTTTGTTTCTTTGTACCAGACCAGTGAATGGAACATGCCTGTATGTGCATTTACATGTTAGCCTTTATGTGCACAAGCCAAACGAAAGCGTGCCTCATTTCTGGTGATCCAACATGATTCCTCTGGAGGGAGAAAAAATGAATAAAAAAGTGGGATTTGCATGTTTATGTTGTTTGTGAATGCTAACAATATTTGGGGTTAGTTTAGTAGCAGCAGAAGAAGGAATATCAATAAGTAACTTTACAGATAAGCCGCTAATTTCCCCGTAGTATTTTGACCTTGTGCTTTGAAGCACTTGTGCATGATCTGCATGCACTTGGTTTTGTTTTCCATAACAAACACCTCCTATGCAGATCCATTACAGAGGAAAGGGAAGGACTTTGAAACACCTACCTACTGCCTAACATTTGCTTATTCAGCAGTGTTTCATTTTTCTTGAGACAGAGAACTTCAAGATTCTCCACTCAACAAAAGCATGAGCCAAAATAAATAATACAGTAGCAAAGTCTTTGTTGTGCTCCCCTCATCTACTTTGCCAACACTGCAGTATTGAGTTTTTAAGGTGATGTCTTTGGTAACTTTAAACCAGTCAGTGTGAGCATCATCAGCACAACAAGGCCTAGTTTAGGGTTTTCTTTATAGGCATCATAAGAATCCCGTTTCTGCAGAAATTGCTGTGCTTTATCAAATTCCTGCTGAACTGCAGTTTACGTTGGGGGGAAAAAAAAAAGTTGGTATTTTTTTTAATTTACAATTTTTCTGTCGTCCAGCTTAACACAACCAACAGTCAGTTGGATTAATAAGTGAGAAAATGAAATGTTAGGGACTCTTCTTAACCATTAAATTTACCCTTTAAAATCAATTTATATACATTTACAAAAAGTGAAAGAATGGAACATGGCAGTGGGCACACATGCCGTATGTGTAACGTATAATTTTCACCTTCAGCAAATATATCCAGAGAGGAGACCCATTTGTCAAAAATGCACAGTGATGTTTTCAGTGCAGTGTGTGCACTTTTGGGGTGGCCGTAATCAATCCGAGACAGTGATTAAATGTGGAGCTAAGCGTTGCTGAGAAACTCATATTTTGATGCGTATACCTCTGACAGTGCTCGAATTCACATCTTTGTGTTCAGCATGCATACCTGTATTTGGCAACACAATAGTGCTGATGAAAGACAGTGCAACTGAAAGGCTAGGAACATCTCTCCCTGCCTCCCTGCCCTTCTATCTTCCCCTATCTCTGCGTGTGCGTGTGTGTCCGTGTATACATAGCTTTGTGGGGACCAAAAATCGGATGTTTACGATGCTTGTTGGGAACCAACAGCCCTTCCCATGAGTTTGAAGACATTTTTCAGACTCAAAATGTGGTTTTAGTGTCAGGGTTACAATTGGGTTACAGTTAGGTTTAGGCTGAGGGTAAGGATTAGGTTTTTGATGGTTAGGGTAAGCGGCTAGGGAATGCATTATGTCAATTAAATGTCCCCACAAAGATATGAAAACACATTGTGTGTGTGTGTGTGTCTGTGTGTGTGTGTGTGAGGGCTTTGTCCAGTCTCTTCTCTTCTGCACTGAAAATCAGTGTCTAACTCTAAAGGAAGTAATGCTGATTTTGCTTTTGTCTGTAATTCAGTGTTATAGATAGTTATCAGTTCTTGGGAAAACAATAGAGAGCAAGATATTTGTGGTCATGGGGCGTAAGAGGAGAATCACAAGTGTCTTTAAGCCCGTGATCCTGATGTGTATGAAGTGGTGCTATTTATGTATTTTGACCATGCCTCTATGCAAGCTTCCATTCACTGATTAACTTTTATTATTCCATGTAATACATTTTTAATCCCTGAGAGAAATCATCAATTTCGTGAAGTTCCAAGGACTATCATTAATATAAAATATCTTATTTCCCCTTTCTTCATTGGTTATTATGAGTGTGGTTGCCAGCAGTTGCAGCAGTGGTAGACTAACGTGCTGCTTTGGTATACACAGCTATTTTCTCTCTCCCTTCTCACACTTGTGGCTATGACTTATTTAGAGTTCATTGAATACATAACATTACTGGCAAGGCTGTCTGTATAAGTAGGCCAAGAGACTCTGACACTACTGAGAGACTGTAGGATGTCTGCCACGAGTCAGTGGAATTATTCATTGTAATATCAGAATCTGTTTTTTGGGGTCTGGGAGCACAGCGCTTCTCTGCTTCAACAGAGGTTTAATTTATGCATTAAGACATCTCATCAGCTTAATTAAATTCTGACATTTGGCAGTTGTGTACAAAAGCATAAAAGGTAGAAAGGTTAATGTCCCCTTTCCTTGTGAAACGAGAGCTATTACCTATTGATAGCCATACTACTGCCTTTCTGAGTGACACATACTGCTCTGCATTAACATGAAGCTCCAATAATGGTTTTATAGATGAAAACCCTTCCCGATCTTGGGATAAAAGTGTGATGGGACACTAGTCTTTTATTTAAATGATCTCCATAACCTCTGCAACATACCAAACCTTGTTTGACAGCAGGCTTAAGTACAAAGAGGCTCCGAGGTTAAGGGTGTTACCCTGAAAACAATGAGACATCCATTTGATCAACAGATGCACAGCATTTAAGCTTGATGGTGCATAAGCCGTTTGCCAGATGGTTCAGCTGATTAGAGCATGTATCCTTACAATGATGCATGATGATGCTTTTTGAAAATAATGTTCACCAGGTGCCGCTCCCTGAGTGCTGCAGAAGAAATAAAAGTTAAACAAAAGAAGAGAGAGAGAGGAAAAGCTGGATTAAGAGGGGGGGGGATAAAGAGGGTGAGGGAGGAGAGGAAGGAGAAATGGAGAGAGATGTGAATCCCGCTGGGTATATGTGGTGAGGAACACGCAGTGTCAAGAATGCTTTGTTAGGATGTGAGAAGTGTGTAATCAAAGTCGCTCTAATGTTCTGTTGCATGGTGCTGCTCTACACTGAAGATGTGCATGCACAAGTGCATATTACACAAAGTATAGTGCAGATGCTCCACAGCAAGAGACGAGCCCGTTACACTTAGAGCCAGCCCGAATGTGCCACAACATCCCTGCTGGATTCAAACATGGCTACACCATGGATACGGAACACTTCGGTGGTGACAAAGCACCAGGAAACTAATGAGCTGTTTGACGTGATGATCTTTCTTAATGCCACCTGTCCTCTATGGCTTCCTTGCACTGGCAAGGACTAATTCTAACACAAACAATCAAAGGACAGGTAAGCGAAGATATTTATTTAGAACAAAGCGTCAACTATCCTTCACGTTTAGATCAAAACATCACATCCAAGGATAGCGACAGTCTGTTCAGAGCCAAAGGAAACAGCTGGAAAGATGAATACCTGTGTGTCCCAAGTGATGGTGTGACCTCGAGCTTTCAGTCCTTCTTAGTCTGAAATATGCTTTTACTCTAAGTGCTTTCTTTAAGGCTGTAGAGATGTCTTTCCAGTGCAGGCAAAGGTAAAAAAATAAAATTTTAAAAAAAATGGCTTGTTTTTCATGACACTTTGTCTGACGGATGAGTTGCCATTGTTCCTTAAATGCAAATGTTTCTTCTCAGCTTTTAGATTAAACCGTGACTCTGGCATCAAAATAATTACATTTCTCAAAATTAGAAGTGAGAAAAAGGTAGCCCTTTTTCTGTTGCCTTCAAGTTTGTTCAGAGGCCACAGGCACTCCTCTTGCCTTGACCAGATTTGATCTCCGGTGCACGCAGGCAGTGGAGCTTCACAAGCTGCCCAGCTGGTCTGCTCAGGCATCTGAAAGCCAGGCACATTGCTTTGGTCAGTGTATTGAATGCATATGAGCTTCAGAAGTAGAGCAGGAAGCACTGGAGGCTTGGTAGTCTGGAAGGTTTTTGTTTTTGTTTTATTATCTAATATTCATTTAGTAATAAATGATTTGTCGAGTTTCACATAGTTTCATTTTAATATCAGCTGAAAAAATATGTTATAATATTTTTTCGTATAAACTAAAGCAAATTAAGATTGTATATCACATGATTATACATTTAGAGGTTGGAATCCTTTTTCTGGCGGCTCACTTTGCTCATTGCAGTGTGCAGGGAAATAAATTGTGTGGTCTAGAAGTGTGTGTTTACGCTTGCCTGAAAGGCTTGGAGGTCTCTCTCTGTTATCTGTCCAGCTCTGTACTTGGGGAACTTGTTTCATATTTGAATTGCAGTTTGGAGGAAGATTCTGTACGAGAAGGTGCTGCTGAGCCTAGAGTGCAAATGAGTCTGGAAATAGATTAGCATTGCATATAACATATGGTCAGGGGATCCTTTCAGTAGTTGCATTTTTATTAATTTTATCAAGCATGCCAAAGTGAGGACTGTAAGTGAAGCACCCTCCAAGACACTATAGATATGCGATTTACAGACTGTGGCTCAAGCTGTGGCCACTGGTTTCTCCCCATGAGGAAGATGTTGATTAGGTGTTTGAACTTTTACGCTATGGGATTTGTTCCCAACAGATGCTAGACGCTGGCATCATTAAAGTGCAGTTCAATCTTTGCTGGAATCCTTTTCCTCAGGTGTATTGTGTGTTAGATCCCAGTCTGCTGTTGGATTTTTTTCAGTTTCTTGTTTGTTTAGCTCTCATTTGCCGTTTTTATTTTAAATATCACTTGTGCTGTTTCATATATTTTTACCTTCTGTACTCATGTTCCCACCCACCCATTGTGAATACCTGACCTGCCGTAGTTCATGCCAACCTTGTCCTTCCCTTTCATCTGTATGCTGCCTTTTTTCCTTATGTGAATAATGTTCCACGCATTTTTCTTTCTGCATAACTTCCGTTTCAAACTTTTCCTTGCATTATTTCCGTACTGCTGCCTCCAGTGTTTTTTCTATGTACTAAAAATCTACCATGAGTAAGAATTTTTTCTTTTTTTTGGAGTTCCATGCTTTTGAGTCTTTCTTCTGTTGGGATTTCATCACGTATCATATGTACTCAGTATAACAAAACTAAAGTAGCCCCAGGATCTGTAAAGTGGAGCTAATGTTGAGGTTCCTTAAACTTGCCTTCCTTTCGATGACCAACAGTAAAGTTAGTATAAAATTTAATGCAGGAGCTGCTCTGCTTCTCGCTTGGTTTATAATCTCATTGCACATTTTCTTCTTAAATTTATGTTTTCAATCGCCATTCTTCAAGTCTTATTTAGTAAAGAAGGATGATTGTTTTTAGAATAAACAAAAATAGACAGTCAATGGTTACTCTCAGTCGGAATGTCCCCGCATAGCAAAAATGGTATGGCCCCAATCTGGACCACACAATGTGCTTACACGTCCCCACATATCGCAAAGAATAACGGCCCTTTGGTGGCCCAGATCTGGTTTGCCAGAGGTGGCCCACAAATGGGCCAGTTGCAGAAACACTGCTGGCCCTGTGATGCCCCAGATGACAGCCTAATGTGTACCTTAATCAAACCATGTAATAACAACAAGTGGCGGAACATAATAGTGCAAAAGTAACATGGAAAATCTCCATTCAGACAATGAATGGAATGATTCTTATATAGCACTTTCCTACTCTTCAGGATTCCTCAAAGTGCCCTCTACAACATGCCACATTCACCCAATCACACACTTTCTCTAAACTGAGACTCTAGCAGAGACTGGGTTCGAACCACTAACCTTCCTATCAGTAGGTGGCCTGCTCTACCTCCTGAGCTACGGCCACCTACAAGGAAAGATGAGTAAACCGTCACTAGGTTTTCGATAAAGTTTACACTCACGAACCTGTCAAATCTGTATTTGAAACGTTGGCTACCACAGCAGTATAGTATTGCAACATGGCATTTGGGTCTGCTCACTAAAATAGGAAAATAGGAACATAAATAGTGCCATCAATGCCAGACCTGGCCCACATCTGGTTGACATACACCCTGCCAGGACACCAGTCAGTCAGAAGTGTCAGCTAGATGCTGGATCCGGGCCAGACCTGTTTTCTATGGGCCTGGGCCACATAAACAAAACCATAATCGAGCCAGATATGGCATGCCATCTCATAGACGGTGCCATCTACTTCAGGCCTGTCCCATATCTGGATGACATACGTCTTATCATGCCAGAAGTCAGCCAGCAGTGCCGGCTTGATACCAGATCCGGGCCAGATGTTGGAATTGTCACTTCATAATGGAAGTTCAGAAACCATAGTGGCTATGTCCACTGCAATTTTACTAGTATTTATTTTTTACCCTGGCTATTATTTGGTTATTTGTTTGGGCTCACTGCTACTTAAGCCAGAAAAGCTGTTGCGGCACGGCTGATCAGAGTTAAGTCATCAGCGTACACTTGCATTTTCAAAACCATTTATTAAATGATCTGTGGAGATGACAAGCAAGGGGGAGGATTTCACAAATAATTAGCGTACTGACTGAAAACTACTTATGTGCTTTGAAATATTCACTAGATGAAAAATTATATTAAACTCTGTAACAATAAAACATTCATTTGGAAGTTCATTTGTTTTGTGTCACACTTGATTTGCTTTATAAATATTTATTCCTTATCTAAAGGGCAGCATTGAAAGTCAGAGTTCTTCTTAGGATCACAACTGGACTTTGAAAGCTACCCCCACCCTCACAGTGTTATTCACAGAAGACAGACATTTTCTCTTTGACTCTAAATGCGTCGCATTTCAAATCAGTTAGATGAAAGCATCTGTTTTGAGTACTTATTACTTGCTCTGGCAAAAGACAGTCCTTCTGCCGGTAATGACTGCACTCTCCAGTTTGGGTATAGCATTCCTTGTTGATTTCAATATATAATTAGCATAATAAATACTTCTGTTGCATGTGAAGCCTTTTTCTCCTTAGCAAGGAGCAAATCAACTGTTTTTCCCTCTAAGAAGAAGCTTTCAAGAAGATGAGAGCAATTTTGCTTCCACAACATAAATATATGTATTGGACAAACACATATGGATACTGTTTAGCGTTGCAGTGTTCCTTGGTGAAGTCATAAAGAACAGTAAATTTATAGTTCAGAGCAAAATGTATGGAATATGTAATCCTCTGTCCTACAGCTTTGTATTCACTCATGCCAGAGTGAAGAACAACATGTCATTACAGCCTGATAGTTGCAAAACATCCTGACAGCCACATGTATATCAGCGCTCTTGGGTGCGCATTGTAAACAAGCTATGAATGCAGTTTTTCACAATGCAAGAACTATGTGTCCACTGAGGGATAAAATGAAAATATCTAGTTCAGGAGACTTAGTAATACTTCCCTTTTTCACTCTTTACTGACTGTGGTGTGATAATATAGTGTTTATAAGACTTCTGTTCATTCCTTGCTGTGGCATTTCCAACATGATGAACAGACTGGACTCAGTGGCCCCAATCTGCGACTTCTCTCGTGTGTTCTCCTTCAGTACCGATGTCATATGTAATTGCTGACCTCGGAACTCATGAAATTGCACATAAGGGGTCCGTGCTACCACCGAGTACTTCTTCTGCTGCTACTCCTGCTATCACTGCACAACTGCTGCAAATACATAGGCGTGTGCTCCCACACTATGGCTAAGGCTTGGAAAATGAATTTGCCTGATGATGGAGAGGGTGCATTATCTGGTGGTACAGTAAAGTGCGTGTGGCCTGAGCAGACTGGCTGTCTCTAGCCCTCAGAATAGGAGCGGCGCTCTCCTGGGTCCTGGTAGGAGAATGGGCTGAAGCTGCAGTCTAATTCATCACAGCTCTGCAGGAAACAAGCAATCATGGGGAGGCTTCATAAAAAAAAGAGATAAAAAAAAAAAAAAAAAAAGTAAAAGAAAATCAGTGCAAAAGACACAACAGCTCTCGCTGGACTGGGGCAACTCCCCTGGTCACTGCATCTGCCTCCTCCACTGTCAGCTTCCTCATGGTTTAAATGCTGAGACAGGGAGAGACGATGGAGAATAAAACAGAGTAGGAGAGGTGAGGATTGAAGACAAAGGGGCAATTATTGATAGAAAGCAATAAAAATAATCCAACATAGATGATAGGAGTCAGCAGTAGGAGGTTTCAGCTGGTAATGTAGTTTTGGGGTGATGTAATGCTTTTGAGTAAGACCCCAGCTCTGGTGATACTGCGTCTTTTTGTTTGCATTGCCACATATCTCAGTGTACAATTTGCGTGAGCTGGTTGTGATTGTGTACTCTATCTAATCTACTCATAAGAAGTCCCTTATCGAGGTCCCAGATTGTGGAAATATGCTGCTGAAGGGTTTCTGTGACAACCTGGGCTTTCTGTCCAATCAGGGTGAGGGCTTTGAGATTGAGAGGTGGTCCTCAGGGGAGCTGTACTTCAATGAGCTTGGATGCTTTGCCACAGAGAAGCGCTTTTAGAGAGACCATCACAAAGTGAGATTCTGCTGAGAATGGGCACTTTGACGTCCCCGCCATAATTGGAAGCACTTTCTAAAGGAGGGTCCTTTTTAAAATGCATTGAATGACAGAGAACACGGAGCATCCAATTTTGATTCCACTCATGAACCCTTCTGCAGCTGCCTTTCAGGCGTGCGCCATATATGTTATGACCCACCCATTTGTCAAACTGCCAACTGTTGTTCTTTTGTCTTCTTTTTTTTTTTTATGATGTGTAAAAGTACGAGACATCTTTGTGTATTTGCTACCTGCTCATTCAAGCAAATCTCCCCCTGTAATCTTCTTCTATCTAGTCTAGATCTGTTTCGCCTTTTTCTTTTCTTTTCTTTTTTTTTACTCAGAAGTTGCATAGTGGTTTCATCATCTTGAGCAGTACAAGCCAGCAGGGTATCGCACAAACACTACAGACAGGCTCATTTTTCACAGGTTGACTCCCCAGCTATCCTGCAGGATGTGTCACGACAAACGGCGGATATGTGACAGATTCACGTTGCACCCGTGTCCTTGCATTAGAGAGAAGACACAGTGTAGCTCGTGGTCACGAGTTTTGTGTGTTTAATGTGTGAGTGTGTGCGTGTGTGTACAGAGAACTGTTTTTCTCGGCACTTTATGAGAAAAAGGGTGTCTGCCTGCTAGTGTAAGTCTGAGTGCTGTACAACTCTTGTAGTATTATGCGCAGAGATCCAGATGAAGTGCTCAACAGCCAACCTTTTTCCCAGCAGGCCTCAGTTCTCCACCAGCCAACATCACCACCTCCGCTGTACCCAGCATCGTCACGCCTATCGTCAACGGATTCACCGGCATCCCTCATCAGCCCAACGGACACCCTGCCGTGGAGACCGTTTACACCAACGGCCTGCCGCCCTACTCCACCCAGAGCCCCACTGCTGCCGACACCCTCCAGCAAGCCTTCACTGGTGTACAGCAGTACACAGGTAGGAGACAGAACGGCTTTGTTTACGATTCTGTTATTCTGAGGTTTTGCACTGGCGTGTAAACACTATAAATGAGTAGCAGCTATGAGACAATAACTGCAGGCTATGTGGTGCGTGAGTAGCGTGAGGTGGTATGTATTCAGATAGTGTAGGACAGCGCCTCAGAACGAAACATCAGAGAGGCTTTGATTACGTGTTACACTTGTGTGATCGACCTTAAGCATCCTTGACACCGTTCTCTGTGGGATCCCCGATTTTACACTCATCTCTCTCACATTCCCTCCTTCCTTCCTTGTTCTACTGCTTCGCGTCCGCAGCGATCTACCCGGCCACTACGCTGACTCCCATTGGCCAAACGCTGCCCCAACCAGCACAGGTCATCCAGCAGCAGCAGCAGAGAGAAGGTGAGGGTGAGAGAACATTATTGCTTTTACACTTCACATGCCTCATACTTTGTAATGGCTAAACGGGGAGACGAGCACGAGAGACCAGTCTTGCTTTGCTTTTACACTGTACACACTTCATTTTGAGTCTTGTTGTACAGCGAGAGAAGAAAAACACTCTAACATCATTTTCATTGTGTTTAATAGATAAACAGAGCGGACTGTGTGAGACTGTAAACAGGTCTCGTCTCGACATAAAACATGGGGATTGATGTAGAGTAGTATTATACTAATATATAGTAATAGTGATAAGTAGTAGCATATCTGTTATAATAGCCAGCTGTGACAGTAAGTGTGGATGAAACACACATATAAACAACATCAATGAAAATATGGTTGCAGGCAAATTGGGACAGCTTATTTGAAGATTTTCAGCTTGCAATGTGATGATTTTAATAAACTCCTGTTGCGTTTTTATTAAATAAAATATATAAAATAGCAACACATAATGTATATTTTAATTATGATTTGAGCCTGTGCCAGGTGTATGCAGGAACGGTGAAGATACATCTAAAGGCCACATATGAAGGAATCATGAGAGTGGATGCTCATGCATGAATGCTCATTGCAGCCTGTACTGTCTAATTCTACCAATGTTAATTAATCATTTATTTTTTTGTATGATGGGTAGTGCCACATATGTCTGAGACAGCTCTTTGCACATATTCTGTATTTATTTTGGGTGATATGTAGGTCTGAAAAAGACAAACTGACTGCTGTTTCTCTCTTTTTCTATCAAACTTTCGCTGTATCTCTGCAACCAGGTCCAGAGGGTTGTAACCTGTTCATCTACCACCTGCCACAGGAGTTTGGAGACAATGAACTCATGCAAATGTTTCTGCCCTTCGGTACCGTCATCTCCTCTAAGGTCTTCATGGACAGGGCAACCAACCAGAGCAAGTGCTTTGGTGAGTCCTACAGTGCAACATGCACACAGTCCAAGACCGACTTGATACAATATGAAATTATATCAAGTCAATTTGTATTGACCCCGGCTTGAGAGATAAAGACACTTGGTTCTGAATAAATCTAATAATAATAAATCAGTCTTAGTGTATACAGGTTAAATAGTAAAATGTTTGTCTTTTCTTTATTTTCAAACACACAACACTAAATTTGTTATATATATAATGTATATACCATTGCCTCTGATGACATTTGACAGCTCACAGACCTGGAGGACTGAGCGATCTTACCCCTGACAGACTGACCTAATTTTGCATCTTGATGACTGTTGTGTTTTGGCACCGGCGCTTTTAAAGCAATGCGCAGAGTACATTGCAGCCAAAATAATCGGGATGTAGTCGATCAGACCGCACGTCCTTGTTTCTGCTTGCCGGCTGTGTGACCTGGAAACCTTGAGGTGCTGCATCAGCATCCTCATCACCATTGTGTAACCCCAATATCTGTCAATACCTTCACCGCTGAGGCTGATTCACACATTTCCACACCTCTTGTCCCATTTAGCTCTGGCAGCCTACATGCGCGTCCAACCCCAGGGCTTACAAAAAGGCAGGCAGTGATGGTTGAGGGGAAGGAAGGAAAAGGACAATTATAGATCAGCTTTTGTTTTCACTTCAGGGAACCAAAGAACCTTGGGCGAAATTGATCACCAGTTCCGTCTCCCTTGGGGGACTTAATAATATATAAATTCATGAAAGAGGAGCTATTTGCAGTATTGACTTATGCACTATGCATTTACAACATAATGTTAGGCCTGGGGAAGGAGGGAACACGTGTGTAATTAATCTAGAAAGGAGAAAGAGGGAATAAACTTAGATTGATGGGGTGTAAAAGACAGAGAAACTGAGCTTAGACCTCTAAACAGGTATCTCCTCTCTGTTTCTAGCCTGAACGCATTAAGGTGATGGCGGGTTAGGAGGTCACCTCCGTATCCCACCTCTATACTTTCTTCAGACTTCCGTTCAGCTCGGCTCTTTGTAGCGCAACTTTTCCCCCGTAATGGGCCAAACCTGAGCCAAGCAGGCCATGTAGACTCCCTCCCATGTGGTGGTGGACGTGGAGAGTCTCCTGCTGTTTTTTTCATGGGTCATCAGCTGTTCCTAATGACACCACAGACACAGCGGAGCGCATCAGCGGAGACACACTCCACTGAAATTTCTGGTCACTGAATTCTCAAGGCTTTATTTTTACACATGATGGAAACAGGATGTTCATAAGTTTGAGGAGGTGGTTTATCGCGGGGAGGTTTTGTGTGTCTGCAGCAGATTTGTCTCCTATGATCATCGTTCTGTGTTTGCTCTTGTTTTGATCAAACTCATTTATTCAGTGATTTTTTTTTTCTCTTTCACTCATTCACAGGTCAGAAAATTAAAAGAATAGCACTGAGTCAATGAAACTTTGTAGGCGTGTTAACCCTCAGTCATTAAATTTCGAAGGTTCAAAATCCACGCAGCTGTAAAGAAAGTGTCTTCATGCTATAAAATATAACGTTTATTTCGAGTTAGGGTCATTGGTTCTCTGCACTGTTTCATCATTTTATTACACCGCACAAAATCAACAAATGCATGCTTCTTATCCAAATCCTGGACATGTCTTCATCTCTGAATGCAGCTTAATATTATATTCCCAAACAAAAACAGTCAACTAGGAGAGAGCGTGAGCGCAGAGCGATGTCATTTGGCAGTAACAGCCCCAAACTTTTCGTGGCCTATTTTTCATTAAAAAGCCACCTCGTGTCCGGCTGTCACGAGCTCTGAGCAGCTGTTAGGCCGCACCGCAGTCCTTCCTGCATCAATAACGCCATCTAGACTTCCGTTAGAGGTACACAGGACGTGATGAGGAAACCAACAGAACACTTACATTTTCATTATGATTGCCTTTTTTTCCACCCGTTTCTTTTTTTAACAGAGTAATTTACAGTAAATATTATTCATAAAAAATTACTAAAATTCTCCCCTAAACGCTTGTTAAGGTGCCTACATTAGGGCTGTGCGATATGACCAAAATCTCATATCCCGGTATAAAACATCTATCGTCCGATAACGATATAAATCACAAAAAATTTAATATTTTCTGTAAATTCTGTGAATCTCGGGTAGGTGAAGTGTTTCCAGCTGCGCGTCTTGTACCTGGAGTCGAGTGTTTTAACCGATGCATGAAACTACACATTTTTAGACATAGGTTGTAAGGCCGCCGTTTTTTTCGTGAGTATTTATTACACGGCGTGCTGCGGGAAAAGCCTGTTCTAACGTTTGAGTCTAAGGTTTATTTTTTAGCACCTGACAACTTTTTTTTGCTTCTCATCCATCAATACTCTGCATACTTTTTCATGTGGTTCCGTTTATTTTGAAAATTCTCAACAGCATCTTGAGCTTTATTGTGAAAGGTTTATGTGGAAAATAAACAAGCGGACATGCGATGGTTTTACCATCGTTGTTGCTAACGACAACGCATAAAAACAGGCGCTTGTCCGTCTGTAGTGTGGTTATATTAAATATAAGAGAAAGAGAGGACTTTAAGAAATGAATATAGCCACTACAGTGACCATCAAAACGATGAAAAAAATATTGCCGTAAACAGTTTATTTTGCGACACCACGAAACAAACGATAGCGTAAAATGAAACATAGACGTTTTTATATCGTCATCCGATATATATCGTTATATCAAACAGCCCTAGCCTACATTATTCTTAGTTAGTGTAAATGAAGTTTTGCTTTTCTTACACAGGTTTTGTGAGCTTCGACAACCCTGCTAGCGCACAGGCAGCTATTCAAGCCATGAATGGCTTTCAGATTGGGATGAAGAGGTTGAAAGTCCAGTTAAAGAGACCGAAGGATGCCAGCCGCCCTTACTGACACAGCCTACCTTCAGTATTCATCGCAGCAGCACAGGTGAGCCCATAAGAGTATTGCTGATTTTCACCACTCTGTCCTTTTACGCTCACGATGCAACTAAGGTTCAAATAATGCCACCTGACTGTTCCTGGAAAGTAAATATCGTTAGACTGATAAGTATTGGGTTGCTATATGTTCTGTGAATGCAAAGCTTAAACATTAAAGGTTTCTACAGTTTTAATATTTGAAGAAATGTAGAGGGGTTGATTTGATGTGCAGCACTGTAGGCATATTAATTAAGGAGAAATCTGTCATCACTGTGACTGACGATGATTGATTGGTGTGGCAGCGTGGGTTAGTTCTCTCCAGACCATTAGACTGATATAATAGAACCATACTGAACAACTCAAAGTTTAAAGAAATTGATCTTTAGATTGACAGTTTAATGAGCAGTGAGATTTGAAATGGCCTTTTTCTTCTTTTTCTTTTCTTTTTTCTTCTTTTTTTTTTGTTTCTAGGTTTTAGAGGACACGTGAAGATATTATCTTTGGAGGAGTTCAACTTTTTTTTTCTCTCTCTCTTTGAAAGCAAAATATGTTTTAAAAAAAAATCAACACATATGGAATTTTTGAAGACATATCAGCATTTACTTATGAAGATGTAGGTTACGGCAGAAGAGGAAGATGCGAAGTGAGGAGGCGCTTCACCGGGGGACGTTAACAGTAACAGATGGCACAGTGCAAGAAAGACGAGAAGAAAAAAAAAACTGGAAAAAAAGAAGTGATGAAACTGAACAACAGAACTTTTTCTTGTTGAGACTTGAATTGTTAATTAAGCAACAAACTAACAAACGAAAAGCAGCAACAACAAATAGATTTCTATATACATATTATATACACACATATATATATATAAGGAAAGAGGCGCTTGTGGCTTTTACTGTACTGGACAAATGAGGGTTCAAACTTGAAGATCAAAAAAAAAACCAGTGGAAAAAAAGAAACTATTCTATATGTCCACTGACAGACTTTCTTTCTCTTTCCCTCTTTCTCTTATTCTCTCCCCGTCTCTCTCAGTAAGCGCAGAAGTGCAGCCACTGAGGTTTCCATTAGCAACAATAAGACTGCAAATCTTTCACCCCTAAGGGACCAAAGGACCAAACATTTTTATTGTTCTGAACAGTAATATATAGTATTAATGATACTAATACTGCAAACTACTACTAATAATATTACAAGTTAAACTTAAGAAGAAACACTAGCTTCAGGTTGAAAAAAAAAAAGAGCAAGGGTTTTTGATTTTTTTTTTCCTTTCACATTTATAGTTACTGGGTTTGAAAATATTAAAACAAAACAGAAAAATGTATTAAAAAAAAAAGTAAAGCTATACTATTTTAGTGCCGTAGAATACATGGGTTAGACATTGCTTCGGGCATGTTCAGATATATTCTTTTGCCTCTCGTTACGTCATCCGCATCGCAGCATTTCATCTCGGAAGCATGATCCGTCTGTGTTATTGTGTCAGAAGAAGAAGAAAGCAGTCCTTTAGTGCCAAAAGTGACACAGTAACCTTTTCTCAAAGCAGACATCAAAAGAACCAGAGCGTATTTAGCCAAGCGTTGCTGTCCTCTGTTCTTGCCAGCGTGTTGCGGTTCCATAATTGATCGTCATTGCGACTCATTCCATGTCATCATTAAAGCCTTGATAGTACAGATAATCTGACCATAAAGCACTGTGGTAAAAGTGCCACCCGGCTGAGCTGGATACGCAGCAGTAAAACAGCACAGCATCTGTAACTGCTTAATAAAATATACAAATGAGCCTGACAGCAGTTGTAAAAATTTCCATCGGCGTGTCACAGTGGTCCCTCCCGGGTCGTGCCCTCTTCCACTGCCAAGCTCCTCCAGCTGCTCTCAGCAGGCGGGAGCAGACTCCCCTCCTATTTCTCCTCCTCCCTCCTGCTTCTCTTTCCTCACCTCCAAGTGCCAGCATATCTCTCTCTTAATAGGGACCATCGGTTCACGGGTGCCCCAAAGCTAACCCGCAGCATAATTAGGGTAATGATAATATTGATTAGATGGGGAGCAGCACCGCAAGGCAAGAGATGTGCAATCAATTACACATTGGCATTTTGAGTGAATTGACTGAGTGACAGAGTTCATTTCTCTCTCAGTAGCTGGATGTTAGTCTTTTTCTCCCGTGTTGTCATCCAGAGTCCCTGAAGGAATCCCAAAACGCAGAACGGCAGCATGTCCTGTGGGACACTTTGAAGGCACTTGATCGGTGTCATTATGGTAAAGGGTGGAGGCATGGAGATCTGTATATGGTGCTTAGAGGAGATTGTACATGTTCTTCAGTGAAGAGCAACTGTATTTTTTTTCTGAAAGGGTATAATAGCACAGTGCGAGCTTCTACAAAGAGAGAAGAAGCCTTGGCATTACCAGCCTTAGGAGGTCAAATTAAGAGCAAAATGATCCATCAATTAGACAGCAGCGGGCCTGTAAGTGTAGCTGCTACAGCTGCTGCTGTTTCAACAGGATGACAGCTTACCATTAGTGCTGGTCACACATGGCTCCTGTGCAGTGTGGTCACGACACATCAAGCCTGGAAGATACGATTAAATAACCAAACTTGTGTTATCTGTGCTTCTGTTTTTGCAAAGAGACACACATTCAATGCGTCCGAGATGAAATCTGATGCGCTGTTTGTTTTTGGGTTGTTGTTTTTTTCTATTTCACTCTTTGATTTGTTGAGTAACACTTACATTCTTTATTTGAATATCAGATTCATTGACTCAGTTTACACTCTGAAGCATCGTACCCCTCAGGACTCTGAGAGATCTCAGCACTCTGATCATCGCTCTAAACTTCAGACACATCAGTGCTTCAGACATGTAATCACAATACTGTCCCATACACTAAAGCGTCTTCAGATAGCATGACCACTGCGTATGCCTCTGCAGTCTGGAATAACAATTTTATCCTCCAGAATGACTCTCCAGATCCTGATGTCTGCATACGTTCATTTAGTGTTACTTTGACCCAGCAATTCTTCCTTTTTTTCTTTTATTTGTGTGATTAAAGTTCACTGGATCAGTGTTATAAAAAAGGGGAGGGTGCATCATTTTCAGTAGACTAGGAGTAAATGTTATCCCCGGTTACTATGTGTGTTTTATTCTGTTGCAAGCAGTATTTAGATGCGCTCGGAGGGAGTTTTTTGAAATGCCTTTTCTCGTCATGAATTGCCAAATTATGCAAGTTTAACCACCACATTTCCTCACCTGACTGAAAACTTTGTGCCAGACTTTTTTTTTTTTTTTAAATCTACTCTTATAAATACGGTAATTTTCAGGAAATATTTAGTGGAATAAAATATTTGATTTTGTGAAGTAGTATAATATTGTAGGGGGAGGATCAGTTCAGGATGTAGTGATATATAATGTACATTTTCAGTAAAAAGGTTAGATTTTTATATATTTGCCCGAGGGCGTCGTCTTTCCCCTGAGAAGTTACTCTTATTCTCTTCTCACAGCTTTAGGGAGCTGTGATATATGCCCTCCCTTTTCCCCAGGTGATACTGGGCCATGTGAACCCAGTCAAAATATCTTCTCTCATGGGATCTCTACTGGAGATCTCTACTGGAGATGGAGTCATTAAAATGAAAATAGACTTGGCCAGAAGCTCGCATAACGTCTCGTTTTTGGCCAAAAGAGACAAATTTGACTAAATTACAATGAGTGTGCTGTTTTATATGTAGTGCATAGGCCTCTATATACATATCTATAGATTCAGAAAAGAGAAAGGGGCTACAATCCCACCAACAATAATTTGTTTAAAATATGTAAGTTACTAATTATTAGTAATTATCCCTGTAGTTTTAAAATTAGAGTGCATGTGGTCAAGCTAAAGTCAATCTACATTATTTTCACTCTTGCATCCATTTATTTATTTATTTGTCATGTTGCCATTGTGCCCTTTTTGATCTCTGAGCATGCTCAATGGGGACTTGGGGGCGTTAAAGATTATGATTATGGTACTACTCATATTAACAGTATGATTCTTTAACTATGGTTTGAATGCTAAGGATAGTAGCTTATTATAAATATGAAATCTGTAAATTATGGAAAATCAGCACAGGACCTTTCTTTGGGTACGTACAGTTTGGGTAATGAAATGGGTGAGGGGAGGGGGGGAGGGTTTCGCTTTCTAAAGATATTAACTTTCTGGTTTCTCAGCACAAAGCATACAAAAAGCATAGAAACAGCAGTATGGAGTCTGTGAGTAGACTTTACTGAAATGCAGGGCGCAAAAAGAAGAATCTCAGTATTATTCTTTTAACCCGGAGGAGAAAATGCTGTTTACAGGTAGTAATGTTTTTCTTTTTTTATTGAAGAAAAAAAAAACAAAAAAGGAGAGCGCCACCTGTTTTTGTGGCAGCGTCAGTACAGCATGGAATAACTGACAGGGAAAGCAGTATCTTTTTATAAAAAAATAAAATAAAATTATGAAGAAAAAAAAATATGTGTTCTGTATTAGCCTGAGAAACCAAACATTTTTCCCCTGTTGAAATTTCTTAATACTTGCTGCTTAGATTACTTCATATTAATGACTGATGATTTAATAATTTTATAATTATCGGGTCAAATATGTAATTTGATGTTTATTTATTTTATTTATTATTTATTTTTCTTATTTATTTTGCCAGTTTTATTTATTTGATTTTACGGTTATGGTAAGATAAAGATATGTATCAAAAAAGAAATGCTTATCGAGGCTTTTCTCTCTTTCTCTCCTTTTTTTCCAATTTTACAATAAAAATTCAAACTGGATGTTTCGTTTCTCACACTTGCATTGAAGCGCTGAACCGCGGCGGCGCAAAGAGAGGGGGAGCTGTTGCACAAGCACTCGCTCCCCTCGGCATTTCCAAGAGCTTGAAACTTTTACAGGACGTAGATGTTGCTCACCACCTCAGAGGTCGTCTCTGACGCCGAGTGAGGAAGCTGCGGTAATTGCGTAACGGCCCTATATGGATTCAGGACTGCTGTTTAAAACCATTTTAAACACTTTTCACATGAAGCCGTTTTCTACAGCTCTTACATCATCGGGAGTCGACTCTGGAGTTCATCATGACTGGAATTCCAGTCGTTTTATTCTCATGTGATAACTATGATCCAACATATAGAGCTGTTTTGGTTATCTTTCACTCCGTTTTTGGAGCGTACTTCTCAGGAAATGGTTGATGGGAACAAAATACCAAAAAAAAAAAACCACCTAAATATATAAATCCCAGTGAATAGGTGTCATAGCAACGCTTCACGAGAATAACGGGGACAAATATCATTACAATGCAGACAAGCAGGAAGCAATAAGTTGATATAAGGCAGGCACGGACCATCAGTCAAGTTTAGAAAACCGTGGCACTGTTTTGATGCCAGAAGCTAAATCTAAAGTAACATCTGTTGACATTTGAATTGTCTCCACATACATCTTGTAATGATCATCTTCATACATCGGGAGTCACTGTAACAAAAGAAACAGAACAGCTGAGACATAGATTCCTATTTTGAAGAGCGGAGATAGATATGAAAGAAAAAAGGGGGAGGGACAAAAAAGTAGAGCCACTGGCTCATAAAATAAATTGTCCCAATTACAATAAAGTGTGACTCTTGGTCAGTGTGCACGGCAGGCAGTTCATCTTTATTACAATCAGTTAATGAAAATCAATCCCCCTCCTGATAAACTCTTATCTCCACGGCCTTTGCGCACCCCTCGTGCCGGGAGATAATAAATTAGGGTAATATTGCCTTTGATGAGGGAGTGAATTGCAAATTATTGTAACTTTCCAAGATTTATGATGCAGATGCTTAATTTCCGAGCTGGGTTTTTCAGGGTGCCGGGGGGCCATTTGTTAAAAGTTTGGTGACATAGGCTCGTTAATAAAAATACACACTCCGACAGCCAGGTGTTCTCAGCTGTTCTCTACTGTTACAGTAGCGGAGGTGCCGAAGCCGCTCTAACTCCAAGCT